TATAGAGTTTAAATGATTTGCACATCATTGCATTCTGTTTTTATTTACATTTTGCACAGTGTCTCAACTTTTTTGGAAACAGGTGTAAGGGATCAGGCTATGATGCCAGCCGCCACTAGGGGCGCAATAGGTCGCCGGTTCGAACCTGGCGTCCGTTCTCGCCACAAAGTGACATCAAACATATTTATTTCACTTTACCACCTCATACCCGTAAAAATTCTTCACACCACAATAACAAATAAATAAAACTGAATAAACACCCAAGAGCTCCCTCATCCTGTGACAACAGGGATGTATTTTGTGTATATCCAACTAGTACACGTGCACTCATGTCCTTGTCTTAATGTTTATGTACCAGAAAAGAGCCCAATTGTGTTTTGTTACAACTAAGTTAAAAGAAATGTTGACTAAAATCTCATTAAGCACATTTTCGTAACAAGTACAAATACAACAAAATGTGTTATTAATAAATATCAAGGAAAGGCAGATGGGCAATAGGCAGACAGTGCACTGAAAGCCACAGAGGGACAGGCATTGACATTTGCTTAGCCAACTTCTGAAGCAGAAGCAATATAATAGCCCTTAATACTAGTGCAAGCTTTGACTTGCTGTAATATCTTATGACCTTCAAATTTTAATTAACATTGACCTTCTTATGCAGTTGCAGGCCCAGAGGGGGTAATTCAGGTCCAGAAAGTAAAAATTCTCCCCAGGATCTTCTTCCAAGTGTGCTGACACCACTGCTCTCTGAGTAGAGAAGCGAGGCAGTTGGAACACTATCCTGGGAAAGATTTTGACTCATTTATCTTGACCTGAACTATCCACCTCTGTTTGCTGCACATGCTAATTCTCCTGGGCTCCTTGTGCTGGAGCAGGCTTGTGTGGGTTTTAGTGATACCTGAGTACTCATGAAAGGACAAGACTGGACAGTGAGGCTCTCCAGAGGCCAGCAGCATCTGTGCCCAACAAGACCTTTGTGGTGAGAATGATACAAGAAGGTCGTCATCAGGAACTAAATATCAATGCAGACTTAGATTCTCAAAAGTAAAAGTCTTAATGGGCTACATGATGTTATACAACGTTATAATGCTTTATAAAACTCGAAACGCTCCCTCTAGTTCACTGCAGCCTTCGCTTGCTCATCAGATATTTCCCACTTGCAAAGATGCAAAATTGTTTGCATTCAAGTTTATCAGAAATATGGATAATATCATTATGTTGTTGTACACATTTTGAAAATCTTGACTGTTAAGATTAGCCAGATAATGTTAGCCAGTATGTATCTGTTTAGTATATTCCTCATTACAAAAATGTGCATAATGCAACCAATGGTTACAGATAGATAAAGAAATCTTATGTTATGTTGTGCATGAAAGGAGGATAAGTTTATTGATCTTTTATGGTTCATGAGACTTTAGATCCTTCAGGCCTAGATAAGTTTTCCCAGCATCAAAACTAAGAGGGTTCTTATTCTTGGTTAAGAAATGGCTGAGTTTGTGTTAAGATTGTATTCTTGTTTATTTGCAGATAAACATGAGCGTTATTACCTGAGCACAACTTGTCACTTTAAACTCAAAACAAGATGTGAGATTACCGGGCTCTTCTGCTCATTAGAAATATCTGAGTGGCAAAAGTGTCCTTTGTCTTTCCACCTGATCTCTTTGATGTCTTGGAGAAAGCACAGAGATATTAAGCAGACCTCTCTTTTTTATTTTTCTTTCCTATAAGTTACTAGATTCCAGGGTTTGGTGCATTTCCAGGTTGTGTTTCTCAGAGGCAGCAGGGAAGGAGGAGCAGGATGGATGTGGTAAGATTCAAAGATTCACAGAAACCTCTCATATAGCAAATGACGACATTGTAGGTTTCCTTGGAATACTCGTGCACTTTCCACCTGGTCTCCATTCTGAGCTCCAGTGATTTAAAAGGGCACATTGCCATGTAAATCCATCTGTGTTTATTGATTCCTGTAAATCCCCCTTTTTTTGTTTCGGTGAAACCTCCATGGTTGTGGTCTGGGGTGTGGTAAGGGCAAAGGGCTGAACCATGTAATGAGCCTTCAGACCAGCGTGCTTCACTCCTTTCCTCATCATTCTGTCAGTCTTTACACACGTCAAGGAATCATAGTAGCACCTACAGTCTGGATACCTGTCAAGTATTCAGTCTTCAGTTCAACATAATTGAGTCAAACTGTGATGTGTACTGCATTGGACCACTCAGGAGCCACAAAGTTGCTTAAAGTTCTGCGTTCCAGAAAGAATGAAAAGGTGAATTACCTCAGAGCAGTTTGACCTGTGTTTGAATAATCCCTTGTCCTCAAACAGAGATGAATGAATTAACTAGAGCAAAGCGTTAAAAATGTTTTTAATGTGTTACTAACCCATTTTCACAGTACACACAAAATGCAGTTTCTGCCTGTTTTGGAGATCCCTAAGTTAAATTTTACACTTTTTTATTCAATAAGGTTGATTAAATAAATATTCGATGGAAATGTGCATGATTTACAAAACTGGAAGTGAACTGGATTTTCATCTTTGTTGGTGAGTTGATAAAATGGACAAAGAGTGTAGAAATTAGGAGGAAAACTTACTGTTATGGCTGATGAGTGTCTTTAAGACAGAAGACTCAACAACTAAAGATGAAGTATATATGTCATACAGTGTTGGAAAACACGAAGATGAGTGGGTCTGAGATCACGGTAAGGATGTCTGTTGACTAGTACACTGACGTTTAAGCATGTTTTGCAATTTAACGGCATTGGTTCTTTTTGTAACATCTCAGAAAATTCAGAAACATCTCCTCTCAGAAACATCTCAGTCTATGTTCACAGCATTGCACAGGCAGCAGATTCATTTCATATAAACTCTATTCACTGTTCACGTAGCACATTCCCTTTATTAGCCATTCATTTTAGAGCATAAGATAAGCCATTTGTTGGACTTACAGACATGACATTGGCTTCTTTCACTCTTCATCAACAACTCTTGAGACTGAACGTTTCTGGCTGGACACTTATTGAGATTGAAAAGCATAACTGAAAATGGAAATGTATTGTGACTCTGCTTAAGTGCTAACTGTCATCTCAGTCAAACAGTGAAATGATCTATACAGATAACGATAGCAGCCTTTAATAATAAATGCTTAGGATGATGAGAATTTTTGTGCATACAGTTTCTCAGTCAGTAATGGAAGTGATCAAAAGTGAATCTCTGTGTTATTATTTATTTGTATTTAAAGTGCAGCTGGACCTGGTTAGATAGGCCTCTTGCTGTCAGAGTTTGTCATACAGTCAGCTGTGTAGCAGATTAAACTTTTGACCTTCAGCAAGTTTCAGTACACACTGCCCTGAGTCATTTCCTTTCTGTGACTGTTATACATCATCTGTAGGAAAGGCATATAACAAAGATATGCACAGTCTTTGTGCGTGATTAAGTTTTCCCTATTTCTCTAAAAATAAATAAATTCATTTTTGTATATGCATGTATAGGATGCATTACATAAAAACTAAAAAATAATGTGTCCTTTTTTCAATGTTTACATTTCTACTTCTTTTAAGCACAGCAGCAGCTCTTTACATTGAGTGAAAATTTCATGATGAATGGACCAATAGAAATGCTCAAGTCCATTAACTTGTTTTTGCCTTTGACTGTAAAGTTGCCATTAGGAGAGACTTGTGCTTTTTGGACAACAATAATATTTACACACAGATCTTCATTATATATGTATAATTAAAAGTATAAAATATTTGAATGATATCTTGATCTATGTCTTGATATAATCTTATTCAGTTTTGTGTCAGTTTTGTTCCAACTACTTATCTTAAAAAAAAATAAATACTTTTTGCATAATTAAATCATTGAGGTCTAAACAATGTAATTCAGGGTGGTGTGATGTGAAATGCTCCATTCTAGATTTTTACAACTGTAGTGATGGCAAATTCACGCTTAAAGTGTTTAATGCTACTAAAAGCTACCTCACATAATGCTAATACATTAAATGCATGCAAATACACCTCTTGATGTCTGAGATATTGATTTACATAAGCGTTTGGCACAAAACATATTGTGGCATCAGTGTAGAGTAAGACACAAGGAAGGCCATGATTTCCACCACAGGAAGTGATCTTTATTAAACGCCAAGGTAGACAGGAACAAACAAGGTACTGAACTTGTGGAGGAAGTCACCACCAGCTACAGGCTTCATGCTCACATTGACCAACCCCCAACACAAAACACCCACACACTCAGACACAATAAACCACAAACAGCACACAAAACATCTTTACACTAGCACACAACGACATTTAAACAATATAAAAGTCCCTTTTTAGGGGGGCAGGTGCCTACCATGAACCTCCACGTATGGCCACCTGCATGACCACGCCTCCAGAGTATCTTGGAGGCAGCGTGAGCCAGTAGCAGGTTGCTACAGTATTTTTTAAAAATTCCATAAATGGCGGAGAGGTGCTTGTAGGGCATTGTAGGGAAAACAGTACTTTAATTAGAAAATGTACTTTACATATTTACAACTATTTTACCATTATCAACATTATGTATGAAAACTCAGAGGGCACGTCTGGGTTCACTGGTCGTTTTGGGTAGTAAATACATTTGTGTTGCAGACATTGACCCCTGGTTCCTGTCACCACCACTGTAAAGATGTTGGTTAAGATTCACAATGAACCATTTCACATCAAACCACCCCAAAACCACTGCTAATACTAATAAAATAAATAAATAAATAAAAATCGTTCAGAAATTTCAAAAAATCGGTGGAATTGTCCCATGTGGATAAAACCGCCCTGGATATTCAAAAGGAATCTAGAGAGAGAGAGAGAGAGAGAGAGAGAGAGAGAGAGAGAGAGAGAGAGAGAGAGAGAGAGAGACACACACACACGCACACACACACACACAGAGAGAGAGAGAGAGAGAGAGAGACAGAGACACACACACACGCACACACACACACACACACACAGAGAGAGAGAGAGAGAGAGAGAGAGAGAGAGAGAGAAGACAAACACACACACAGAGAGAGAGAGAGAGAGAGAGAGAGAGAGAGAGATGAAAACTTCCTGAATGGCTGGTGGAGTAAGAAGAGAAGAATGAACGTGCCTTCACTAACAAACTCACGGGTGAGCTTTTCATCGTATTTGCTTTTTAAAATGAAGCGCCATTTTGATGGTTTTCCCATAACTTTCACTACTTTAGCTGAGAGGGAGACTCGTAATGATCGCACTGGTCGTAGTTTTTGTCCTCTTTTTATCACATTCCTGGTTGTATATGGGCAGAAATGCTCGCCGTAGGAGGAAGTAGGCTAGTCTGAGCTGGTCAGTGTAACGGGCTTCTCCGTTACGTTCAACACGCCGCTCCCCCGGGTGAAATGTCCGGTTTGAATTCTGAGCTCAGACTTTATTTCGGCTGAATTAGGAGGTTAACGATGTTCGGCGCTAACGGTGTTCGGGTATCTTTAGAGAGGAGAGTCGAGGAGGCAGCCACCGAGAGTAACTTAACGTCTTAAAATGAAAGAAAAGCTCTCCATTCACACTTTCTGTCGCGAATCGGATTCAAATTCTAGTCTATCTGTTTCTGTTGGACCCCAGGCTGAGTTTAACGTGCAGTCACTGAACGGTAGAGACAAAAGAGCTGCACGCTGTCAGCTCTCATTGTTAACTTCTGTTAGTGCAGCCCTTGGAGGTACTGTCCAGCTACACGGCTCAAAATGGCTGTTTTCTGAGGGGTTTAAGCCTAAGCGCAAGACAGATTTGGTATTTTAATAGACAAATCAAAGTTTTATTTTAGTCTTTGTTCAGGAAAAGAAAGCTATGGTTAAACAGATCCATGTAGAAGGGGAGGTCTCCTCCCATCGCGCGGCTGAAGTGCTGGCAGTTTGGGGCACTGGATAATGGTAGTGGACAGAAGGGATTCAAGGTTGTGTTTCAACACATTTTCCTTCTTCAAAGCTTCTTCATTTAGCTGAGTTCACTTATAAAGATTTTATTTTTATTCTAAATGATGGCTTTACCTCAGCCATTGGCTGGGTTGTATGAAATACACTGAAAACGTAGTGCTGAATACTGAATACACTGAATACAGTCTTAAATGTATTCAGTAATGTGTTCCATTACCACATTTAAAACAGTCGTGTACTCAGAATACAGTAAGAATACATTTGCAATACATTTTGGTAAGACACTGTTCAGCGCTGATACTGGTTGGCAGTTTTCCTCATGCAATTATTTAGCAGATAAATTTTATTAAAAATTGTTACATAATTTAAATGAAATTATGAATTTTTTTTTCTATTCCTCCCACAGTCCCCCAAGTAGGTCCAGTACAACACGGATGCTAAACTTATCACTTGCAGACATGTCCACTACTGAGGAGATTATTAGTTTGATCATCCCTCAAAAGAGCTCAGTAACGCTGAGATTAATAACTGATCATCACATTGATTTATCAGTCTGCTCAGGCTTTAGTAGAGCTCAGTAACGCTGAGATTAATAACTGATCATCACATTGATTTATCAGTCTACTCAGGCTTTAGCAGAGCTCAGTAACGCTGAGATTAATAACTGGTCATCACATTGATTTATCAGTCTACTCAGGCTTTAGCAGAGCTCAGTAACGCTGAGATTAATAACTGGTCATCACATTGATTTATCAGTCTACTCAGGCTTTAGCAGAGCTCAGTAACACTGAGATTAATAACTGACCATCACATTGATTTATCAGTCTACTCAGGCTTTAGCAGAGCTCAGTAACGCTGAGATTAATAACTGGTCATCACATTGATTTATCAGTCTACTCAGGCTTTAGCAGAGCTCAGTAACACTGAGATTAATAACTGTTCTTCACTTTGGGCCTGATTCACCAGCCATTCTTAAGAAGAATTTTCTTCTTACAACCTACTTACACAGTTTTCATGAAGATTCTGGCATTCATCAGTGTTTTCTTATTTGGGATTTGTTCTTGGGTACAAACAGAATCTGTGCTCACTTAGGAGCACAAAGGTATGAACAATTCTGCAGTTTAAAAGCATGTCATGACTCTGACAAAGACTTTTTCTTAGGACCTTTCACAAGAACAAATTTAAGAAAAAACTTAGGAAGGTATTGGTGAATAAGACCCACTGATTTATCGGTCTACTCAGGCTTTAACAGATCTTAGGAACACTCAGATTATTAACTGGTTCATAACTGTGATTTATCAGTCTACTCAGGCTTTAGCAAAGCTTAGTAACACTGAGATTAATAACTGGCTCATCAATGTGATTCATCAGTCTACTCAGGCTTTAGTAGGAACTTCGTTGTTTGTAAAGTAGCCATTAATTGAAATCACTCTAGAATTCTAAAACCTCTTTAGAATTCATGTAACAAGCATGTTTGCAACATGCCACGCACTGATTCTAAAAAAGTAAACATTGTGTTTCTTTTGAAAGTAGAATTTTGTAGTAGTATTTAGTGGCTAAATATTCTAAAAGTATTATGCTAAAATGTAAAAAGTAACTAAATTCTGAATATTGGCTTTACAAAACGTAAACTTGGACTGAATACAAATACTTAATTTCATGAAATACGTATTCCTAATACCTGTATTATGTTACATCCCAAGCCTGGCCAGTTTTTAGACCTGAGCTATTTTAAATTTAAGATTTTAAGTTCTGCCAAAGAGCCCAATTCCTGAGGAAATAGTTTTAGCAAGTAATAAATAAATAAATAGATAGGTAGTCGCTCAGCTAAGATGTGCTTGGTGTCAAAGCTTTGCATCTTCAGTTTTGCAGCGGTGCTACTAGCCTAGTACAATAGATGTTTACTTTTGTTATAATAGAAGACACATATTTTGACACTAAACATGTCCCAGCTGATTGACTACGTGGGGTTGAGGGGGAAGTTTTGTACTTTTTTAATACAGAACCCTTTTGTAGGCACTAATTTGGAATGAAGAAACAGTTTAGTTCTGATATTTAATGAGATTCCAGACTTTCCAAGGAGTAAAATAATGAGAGGAACGAGCAAGGATTCTTGTCGGCTGTTGACCAGTATCTGAGGCAACATTTGATCCATCAGACATTGAAACTCCATCTGTGGACATTACTGAGTTCTTTGATCCCTGTCAGTGGGGGCTCATCCAATTTGAAGACCACGCTGGGACCGCAGCAGGAGATGCTATTGTCTCTGCAACTCACAACCGCTCACGGGCAGTCAAATTCTTCAGCGAGGTCCCTTAAGGATCAGAGGCAGTCTTGCCTTTATGCCTTTTGTTTCGGGGAAGTCATGCGCTCTGATTTGATTAGACTGCGCTCAAGTAATTTTGCCTTGTGTGTTTTTCGATTTAGACACATTAAAGTGCCTGTCCAGGTAAACAGAGCATCACAGCACGACTCTTTATAATTGCTGTAAGCAGAGTTTCACACATGAAGAGCAGAAGGGGAGCCAACCTCACATTCACCTTCCCTTTTTTGGGGTTTCATATGCATGTCAGTTATTTTCTTCTGGTCAGACAAGTTACCACAGAAAATAGTTTACAAGACAGAAAATAATGCCACATGACTGCTTCTTCATTTTCAAATTCATAAGTAGAGAAAATGCTTTGCATTAATAAACTTTAATAAACACGTTTGTGGAGTACGGCTCCTCCGCGCTAAAAGAATGTCTTAAGAAACTGACATAGTTTGTTTTAATTGGTCTGTTCTGCTTTTCTTAAAATGCTAACCAAAGTAAATTTCATAGTGTTGTTAACTAGACAGAAAGCAGATTTCCAGATTCTCTTTTGTATTCACTTTTACAAGATTGACAAGATTCACAAGATTCTCTCGTTGATTCACCTTTTTGTATTTGAATTTTTCTTTCAAAACAAATTGAATCAAATGACATAGATTGCAGTGTACTGAGTGTTTATTATTTATCAATACTGTTAAAGCTGAAAATCAGTACTCTTAAGTGACACAATGGCTGTATACTAGGACTGCCCAAAGGGTGTCCCCCGGGCCAGAAAGTTACCCTAACCCCACCCCTCCACTGAGGAGAGAACAAACATATTTACTATATAGATTACTGTGCAAAATTATAGACAATATCCTTCATTTATTTAATTTCTAGTCAAAATGGCAAATAAGTAAATGTTATTAATTTTTCCGGGTATGGGTCTAAAAACATATGTAGCAGAAAATTACACAGAAACCTCAACAACTAAATATAATTCAAAAATCTTCCATGCTGCTATGTCCACTCTTTATCTTTATTACAGTTTTCATTCTTTTCAGAAGACTTGCTTTCAGTTTTTTAAAGAAATCTGCATTTCTGGGAAATCTGGGATATTTTTCCACACCTCAAAAGTTCAGTCTTAGAAGTTGGTTGGATTTTCTGCTTCACATGATCAAAGTAATCCCAACCACATTCAATGATGTTGAGGTCTGGACTCTGGGGTGGTAATTCCATTGTTCTGAGAACACCAGAAGCTTCTTTGTTTGATTTTAACTTTCTTCTTTTGGCTATTTCCTTTTCTGTTGGTGGCTCATCAGCTACACATCATTTCAGATTCATAGTGTTGAGGTGTCTTCTCACAGTGGAAGGATGCACAGAAACACCAGTGGATTTTTTCAGATATGAGGCAGAGTGGAGCTTGATTTTCTCCTATCCCTCAAAGATGAAAGCTTTAAGTACTGAAGGGGGGTCTCTGTCTTTTGCATAGTGTTATATTATTAATTAAATTCTTATTTTTTACTCTTAAAATTGTATTTTTGAAGTATTGTAGTGACAAAATAGTAGTATAATATTCTAAAATACTTTTAATACATGTTTAAAAACTGGATTTAAAATCTACCTTCTTTATTTCTATATTATAAATTGCCTTTTTGGGCCAAACATTGTGCTTTTCCAACAAGACAAAAGAGGTTGGGCACCTCTGGTGCAGACAATATGTCGCCAAGCACTGTTATGAGCACATCCATACTGACACATGGAAATGTGTGCTTAAAAAGAAAGACATGACGGCAGTTTCTCTGAAGATTCACATATTTCCCTTAGGCCTCGTTTAATGAAATAGTGCCTTAATTACTGACTTACCATTCTCGTTTTATCAAAAGAATAGGTGATGTGTAATTAGGCAATGTTAAGGCTTTTATTCAACAACAATAAGGCCTCATTCAGTTAACTCAAATGCCTGCTTGCTGTGCAAAGAAATGCCCAGATCTTATCCACTAGCTATGGAGAGCTTTGATGTAATTGTTGATACAAAAATACATATGTGATAGCAGTCCTGTATTTACTGTCACATTGTGTGTAGTCTACTTCCATTCTGGTTGAAAGAAAGTGTCAGTAAACTAGCGCTTCAAATTCCATGTTATACCCTTTATGGTCTGTTTTGATTGTATTATGACTAACCAGGCGCAATTTTGTTCCCTCTGCTAACGGCGTTGGTTTGCCCTGTGCTTGTCCGCACAAGCTTAAAGCTATGCATCTGCCAATTACATGGTCTTGCCGGTGCTTATCTAGGAGAGAACCTGTCATAACTCAAGCCTGGGTGCAACGTGCCTACAGCTTGCAGTTTTCTTTGATAACTTGCTCAAGAACCTGTTCAGCTGTTCTTTTGAAAGTGTCGTCATAGTGATTTTGGAGAAATATGTATACTTCCAAAGAAAATATCTCTGAACCCAAGTGATCCAAATCCCAATGGGCAATAGTGTTACAATGCTTACTGGCATGGTAACAATAGGAACATTGACCGGTGTTTCCAAAATCAATTTAGAATGTATCAAAGGCCATTTTACTAACCTAGAAGAAGCTCAGTGGTACTGTCCTGTCAGGGATGCATCAGGGTCTTATGCGGCCCCTAGGTAAAGTGTCTTTGGAGGCCCTCCTAGCCCCATACTCTGATGGTAAATGAGGAAAAAATAGACCTTTTTAAAGGGCTCATATCATGAAAAAAATTGGATTTTCTCGCTTTTTTGCAATAAAGGAGGTTTGTTGTAGTGTGTAGACACTGTTAGAGGTTTAAAATGTACCATTTACTCCACAATCTGCACAGTCTATATATGTTTTTGGCACATAAACCCCCAGAAACATCATTACAGAATTTCATTTGGGTACTTGATTAAACTGCTCATGAGTATTTATGTGTGTCTGCCCTGCGATGGACTGGCGACTTGTCCAGGATGTTTCCTGCCTTCCGCCCAGTGACCACTGGGATAGGCTTCAGCACCCCTTGCAACCTAGACGGATAAGCGGTTTAGAAAATGTGTGTGTGTGTGTATTTCTGTACATTTTGAACAGTGCTGGAAAAAAATTAATGTAACCAAAATGACCAATGATCAAGTAATGGGCAATAGCCTATTATGCTCTACTATCATATTTCTGTATAGTCTTCATGTTAGGGGGCTTTTATTTGTTTTACATATAATGGCTGGGTATGGGCATTTATTTTAATCGTTACATATAAGGCTATTAGTTCATCTGATTTTTGCATCTGCAGAGGACTGTCCCTAGTCTTTGAGCTGGTGGTCTGAGGCCCCAGGGCACTGGCCCTACTGGCCCGATCAGTAATCCAACCCTAAATATTACATTTTGAGAGGATAAAATGATTGATCTTGAGACAGAATACGCCAGAGGCATGGTGTATGTCTGTGTGAGGGGTTTTATGGGCTTCAGGCTAGTTGAAATGGAAGGCATCCAGTCAGTGTTTACAGATGGTAGTCCTGGTAGTGATGCAGGAGTCTGATTCAGAGCTCTTGGGCAATCTGTCAATACCAGAGAAAGGCGGTCTGGACATTAACTTCCTCAAAAAAACTCCCATCTCTCTGTTTTCATCTGTTTTTAGGTGTCCACTTTGCATTTTCTCAATTCTGCACATCCATGATGGGTAAGGATACTGTCATACCGGACATGGAACTTCTGCTTCTGAAGACAGAACTATGAAAGTGACACTGGCGATCTTCAACTGCTGCGTCTCCACCAGACCTTTCTCCTAGTTTGATCTACAGAGAACATCTGCCTGAAGGCTCATAAGATCAGCAACATGTGTCATGTCATTGTTACGTGTCGTTCTATGCTCTGGACCTTGATGAGCATTGTAGTGGCGTTCGCTGAGCTGGTTGCCTTCATGAGTGCTGACTGGCTTGTAGGGACCCGCCACCCCTCTGGATCCAACATTACAGTCGTCCCGACACCAGAACCCTACCGGCCTTCCCTTGGCCTCTACAGCCGCTGCATCAAGGTGGCCCAACAGAAGATGGTCCAGTGTGGACCATATGCTACAGACTTTACAGAGATTGCAAGTGGATTCTGGCAAGCTACGACTATATTCCTGGTTGTTGGAATCTTCCTGTTGTCCGTTGTGGGCTTTCTCTCAGTCTTTAGCCTGTGCTTTCAGAGTATCTTGGGGAAAAGCATCTTCAACGTGTGTGGCCTGCTTCAAGGCATAGCAGGTAAGAATATCACTAAAGGTTATAATTTGTATGTCCCACCATTAATTACAATTTAATTTTCTATCTCAGTCCGTGCAATTTTATTTGTGATTCTAGTATATCACTGATATCCAGCCAAGTGTAAACCTAAATATCATTGCTGTGCCAGCTGGCCTTTATGTTGCATTAAAATTTGATGATGAATGGAGCAATAGAAATGGTTAAAAAATTTAAAAAGTTAGTAACAAAGTTAAGAAAGTTTTGTTTTCTTCTCCTTTAAATGTACTATTTTGGAGATACAAGGTTTTGTTGTGACGGCAGCAAAACGAATATTTAATACCAATACTTGGACTGGCTGAGCTATATCATGGAAAGTAGAGGACACAGTGCAAACTGTAGATCCCTTATACATCACGTCACCAGTTGCTTGTATTAGGTACACCATACAATAAACTACCTTGTTTTTACACATATTGGCTATTTTGGTAATGTTTTCTTTTGCAGTCTCTGTAAGTTCTAGGTATATATCTGGCTTAGTGTGAGCAACAAAGTTCCTAGCATTAGGTAAATGTTTTGAGTAACATTTGTAAGTTCCAGTTTGAAATGCCAGACAGGTTCTGCCTGTTCACTGTAAGTGTGGTACAAACTCCATAGTAGCCATGTTGGGCAAAAAGGGGTATGTGACAAGACAACAAGATTTTAACTAAATTACACTCTAATGCCTAACAGGTTCTAGCTATTAAGCAGATAACGGAGATTGTAAAATATTTAAAAAATGTAAGGTGGTAAGTACAAACATGGTTGAAATACATTTCACTGTAATTAAACATGTTTAAGCAGGAAAATAAATAGTAAAAAAGTAATTGGTAGGTAAAATTATTATTTCTTTTCCAGCCCAGATTCGGTGCTATTTTATTTCTAGGTAGTTGAAAAGAACATACTATGTAAGGCTCGTGTTTTAATCCTGACTATCCTGTAAAGCCATCAAGTACTTGGAGGTGTTTCCAATGCACTTTCCTAGTTAAATGCATGACATTACAGTGAAAGTTAGTGTGAATTTGTTCATACTTACCACCTTGTTACTTCAAATACTAGATAGTTTACTATGTCATTTACCTCATTAATAGGTAGAACCTATTAGGCATTTCAGTGTTGTTTAGTTAAACTGTACCACACTTATCCACTTCATAAATAGAACCTGTTTGGAATTTCAGTATAATGCATTGTGTTACCCAAAATATGGTGTTTCTCATATTTCAATATAACCATAATGTACCCCAAAGCAATTACCTAGTACATTTCAGTTTGTAACCTTCACTTACCCACTTAATACCTTGAAACTTTGGGGGGCTGCAAAAGAACTCATTATTACAATTTTACCAGGCACAGATGCAATTTGAAGGTATACAGTTACTGATCCTGGTGATCCATCAATGCAAAGGGACCACCAGTGGACCACCACTGACCAGATATTATTTGGTAGACCACAGCTACAGAGTGTTTCTGTATGGTGGATCTGTTCCTGATACACTGCAGTATGTATGTATTGCCATAAACTTGTAGAGTAAACTGGTCACATTCACAACACAAGCTTGGGTGGGTGTTGTCTCCCCATCCCCTTTAAAGTCAGTTATATCACTTCTCAGACCTCCTGTGCTTTGGGTTCAATTTCTTGCTAATACTGTGTGGTATTACTTGTGTTTAGTCTTCGTCTTACCCTGTTTTAGCCTTCCAATTTTTAGTTCAGCCACATGGGCCAAAGATAGAAGATTAGGGCGTATATTTAGGTCATACTGAGGCAGATGTTAAAGCCTCTGAGCCCACAGGATACCGAGGCTGACATTCCTCTGATGACTTTCATCTAGCCTCAGAAGCTCAGGCTTGCCTGGGAAATACACAGTCTGATCATAAGATTCCATACTCCTTCTAACTCCCAGCTCTTACATCATCTATTAAATCTTCATAAACCTGTTATTTATGAGAGCATCAGTGTTAGGTGGTGGTGTATGTACTAAAGTCAGCTGAAGAATCTAGAATGCCATGGCCTCTAACTTAGGCAAGTGTTGTTTTTAAGAGGGCTGTGTCCTGTTTTTCTTCAATTTTGTCCCCCTCAAGGTCCACTTTTGACGTTTGTGTGGTTTTATGTACCACAATTGTAAGCCTTTATTACATGATCGTTTTCCAACCTCTCATCCTTTAGAATGAAACAGGCTGTTTTTGTGACGTTGCCTTTAAAGCTGATATATTCCAGGCTAAACGCAGGTGAAGAATCTGGAATACAGTGGCTCCAAGCTTGTGCAAGTATTTTTTAACCGCTGTTAGTATTACAGTAGCCTACATTTTGCTGTGGTTTGTGCAAGTCATAAAATTGCTACCTCTTATTTTAGTGGTGAGTAAAGTATCTCAACCACACGTTGCCTGCTCCCTCAGCACCACTTTCCAGTCCAACCCGCAGCAACAGAGCTGTATTGTTGACTGTGGCGAGGCCTGCTGTTGCCAGTGCCACTATTAACCATTGTCCTTCAGTTCCAGTGGATAGAAAGCTGGCACATCAGCTCTGTAAATGATCATATTACAATAGAAAAATATTCCATTTCAGTGCCATTTTAGAATAGTCATTACCATAATGGTAAGTGGTGGTTATTTGCTTTGCTATTTTTAACAGCATCAGCATTTTTAACAAAATAGCATTTAGCATGAGGTATATTTCTTCATGTTGTACCTGTACGGACCTGTCAGAAGGTACAGACTTCTTACTCCTTTAACTGTAGTTGATCAGCCAAGACATGTTTGGTGTACAAATATGTGCTTCGTTAGTTCAGTGCTGAAATAATCAGGCTATCGTCATTAACAAGCACTAGAAGTCATTGGAATCTTTTCAGTTTTTTTTGCCAAAAACTTCCCTCAAACTGCACTCAGGTCTCTATTAAGATTGCTCAGACTTGTCGAACTCCTCCTAAAAAGATTGCTAAAACCCCACCATGTAGCTTAATGCTAGGGGCTGTCAGTATAGACACATGTCTAAAGTGGCTGCCTGAGTTCAACTACACAGTGATGTTTTGTTCATTGTTTTAGTTCACACTAAGTCATACTGTGTCCTAAACCACACTGACAAGTCTGTTTTACCTTAATGAAGACCTGGATGCAGTTTGAATGAGTTTAGAGAAGTTTTGGGGATGAATTTACAGAAAAGATTTGGGTGACTATTGATTCCTAGTGTTTGTTAGCAGTGTTAGCCTTGTAGTTCCAGTGCACTACTAAATGCGCTCCAAACATTTCTGATGGCTGAGTGACGCTGATCTGGGGTAAACGGAAATTTGTGTATGATTAGAAAGGAACTGAAAAAAAAGACTCAAAACACACTCATAATAAAAGCCAATGGGAAGGTGTTTTTTGCAACTGGTCATAGACTTCTATCATAAATGTGCTTTAAGTTAACACATTTTCTTTTCTTTTGTCAAAGTTATTTGTCCATGATTATGAAAAATAAGTTGCAGATACAGCAGACAGAGATTAAGTTAAAAAGCACTGAAGCATTCCTTAAAGAGGTTAAGGAATTTTTAATATCTAAAGGGGTTTATCTAAGGACGAAAGAGTTACGTAGTTGTACTGCAATCTCAGTGAAAGATTTATGACAGCAGGATTGAGCAATTCCCAAACAGTCAGAAGAATGGCTTCTGAGGCAGGACCTCGCATGCCCGATCCGATGATGGAGTGAGTACACTATGTGGCTTAGAAAGCTCACTTGCCTGCTCTGTTCAACATGTGTAAAAGCTGTCCTGATAAAATCCACAAGTCTCTCTCACTTCTACAATGTTTTAGGGCATGTCTATACCTAAATAGGTCTATAGAGAAATCACTGAGATGTTGATCATGATATGTATCCTTTGAAGCAAGTCTTCGTACCATAGAGAGTTTTTATCTGAACGTTCTACCCAGAACAGAACTTTCAGATTATATCAGACAGTTCAAAGGGATCTCAGTGTTTAGACAGCATGGGTGAGGTTTTGCTTTACAGACACAACTGGTGGAGAGGAAAATAGATGTCACATCCAGCAGGAGGCATAATACTTACTCAAAGAAAAATCCATTCCCTGCCATTTAGTGTATAACTACTATGATTATGAACCTTTGGGATTACAATGAGTCACAATACTCAAGATAATGACAAAGTTTTCTCTCAGATACCATAGGACACCATATGATTTCATATGATATTATAATTTTACCCAAATTATGACTGCAGAAGAGGGGTAAATGCTTTAATGGGAAATTTGTTTTACCTGATGAACTCATTAAGAAATTCTGTATTCACTGTTCTGTTTATATATTTACAGATGACAAATGAAAGTGTCTTAGTAAGGTGTTGGGTCACCATGAGCCATCAGAACAGCTTAGAATAGAATTTGCATTGTTTTGATGATGGTCCAATACAAGACTGTCCAATACAATGGTCCAAAATCTGCATAGGAGTTCAATTGGGTTGAAATATGCTGAGTAGCTATAGCGTTTGATTTACATCATTTTTCATACTCATCAAACCATCCAGTGACCCCCCCACGCCTCATGCCTTGTGGATAGGGCATTGTCATTCACTCCTGTCAGGATAGAAATGTTTCATCATAGGCTAAAGGTAAATGTTTTGCAGTGGTCCTTCCCTCTAAGGGGACATGTGGCCCCAAACCATAACAGCAGAATGCACCCCATAGCATAACAGAGCCACCAGACCCTCACTGTAGGGTCACACATTCAGGCCTGTATCGTTCTCTTGGTGTACGCCATATTTGCTCTCACCCACTTGTGAAGAATAGGGTGAAGGATCTATGTAGACCAGTGCCGGTTGTTCTCAAATGTGCCCACTTCGTTGTAATGAGGGGTTTATGCACTGCAACTCTACTATAATATCTCTTTATGTAGTTCCTCACCTGAGGAACAGTTGCTCTTTTTCTATACGTATCACACTAATGCACATTAAATGCGTGATTTTGACCACCATTTCTAACCTTATTTACTGATGTCCACAGATCTAAATGTTACTTTATTCACTGTTCTTATTAGTCAGTTGAGCATTCTTTGGGTCTGAAGCTCCTGCTATTCGTGCCCAAATAAAGAGCCGTCTTTCAAAGTCACTTAGATCCTTTCCTTTTGTCATCTTGATCCAAAATCTTGGTCAGCTGGGCCTACTCAGCATTTTTATACATGCCACAGACAAATGTGGTATGACAAATAGACCAATAGAAATTTGGAAAGAAAAACCTTTCAGGATTTTTTAAGTTACATTACCAGATGCTAAGTAAAAAAATATTTTCCTTCTCTGATAGATGGATGGATGGATGGATGGATGGATATGCTATATTGTGTATTACAGATCTATCCTTTCTTTGCTTTTGCACAGGTTTGTTCCTGATGCTGGGGCTGATGCTCTACCCAGCAGGCTTTGGCTGTGACAAAGTGGTGAGCTACTGTGGGCCAGATGCTTCTGCATATAAACTGGGTCAATGTTCTCTGGGCTGGGCCCTGTACACAGCGATAGGAGGAACAGTGCTCACCTTCATCTGCGCCATGTTCTCCGCCCAGGCTGAGATCGCCACATCTAGTGACAAGGTGCAGGATGAGATAGATGAGGGCAGGATGCTCATCTGTGTGCTCTGAATTTTTTGCCTAGTTGGCCTCTGTAGGCTGGTTGATATACAGAGTTTTCCCTTTGATTTAGTCCAAATTCTAACTAAGTGGGGTAGTAATGTGCCGTTTACCAAAGGTTAGTTATGCTGTCATTCAACATGTGTATATTTCCACATGTCACTGTTTTACTACTTTAGTGAATGTAGACTTCATTTTCATTTATTTTTATTTAACCCAGATACGCTCTTAAAAATAGGGTGCCTCAAGGTCCCTTGGAGCGATGCCATAGGAGAACCACCTTTGCTTCCCTAAAGAACCTTTCAGTACAGTGGTTTCAATTGCGTGTTTTTGTAGAACCATCCACTGTGGTTCTTATTTGAAGTGCTGTTAAAGTGCTGTACCGTTCTCTCACCTGTACATACAGCCCATATATGGAAACTAAGCTGCAAAAACAGCCTGTTTTGAATTGATTTGTGATGTCACAAAACCAATATATTTACATATATCTGGTTATTCAGCCTACAGCAGTTTGGCTCCGCCCATTCATGTTGAAGTTATAAGGAGTGTTTCAGCCCAGACTGCTTTTTAAATGAGGGAAGCCAATTAGAACAGAGATCATATATAAAAAATATTTTTTACACAAATTTACACAAAGTGGACTGTAGAGAAAAAAATTGTATACAAGACATTTCAGCTATAGGCCCTTAAAGGGCAACACCCAAGTGACAAGAAGTGTATTTTCAAAGATTGTTTGAGAGTGTTCTCTGTAGTTCAGACATCTCATTTTGGCTATTCTTTGTTTTTGAGTTTTCAGCTGATGGCAATAAAAACGTTGCAAACACTTGAATAATCACTGTTCCTATCACATTGTTTTGCGCTGGATCTTTTGATGCTATGTAATTCTTTCATGTTAATTTTCATCTATTTGTTATATTAACAAACTTTATTTTTTTGTTTTTTATTTTTTTATATCTTTCTCTGTGCTTCTTACTGAGCATTATAAATAAAAGCGTTAGATGGAAAAACACATTTATGGTTTATTTGTGGTGTTTCACATACAATGTTGTTAAACTTGTGCAAGACAGAAGCCAGGAAGGGAAGCGGATTCAGGAAAATGATACTATAAATAGTACTATATCAATGGAGAAAGCAGGAAAAGAAGAGAATCCTGCCCATAGCCTAGTGAGCACCACCATGTAAACAAACCTGCCTTTGTTCAACACACACAGGGTAGTTTAACAAAGTGCTAATTTAGCACAGAAGTAAATTGAAAGTTGAAGAAAATGGTGAATAAGTAAAATAATATGGCAACGGAGAAGCTTAAGCATTGTAAATATAACACAAAAAAAAAATACAAGCAAAAAACCCTTTTGAAATACACTAAATATAGGACTGTGGGAAAGAAGGACTCAGCAATGGTGGTGGTAATAGTTGGGGTTGGACCTGTAATGGGGTTCTAGATTGTAAACAATGTCATCTTCAACCCTTAAAAGGCAAACTAATTGCTAACAGGTGTGTAAAACCCAAAGAATATACGAGCACATTGCCATGCAATATCCCCAGACAGACATTGGCAGTAGAAGGGATCGTACTGAAGAGCTCAATCGTTTTAAACATGGCACAAAGGGCAATTTTAGGGGGCTTTACCCTTCCCAAGTAAATGTACATTACTAGTCCAAATTATCTATAGTTTATTCTCATTCACAATGTACTGATCGTATTCCAGATTTTTGTATATTTCTATTTGTATATATGCCTGTAGATAGGATTTTTTATATTTATTCTTCCTTTTATATTCTTTCACCCTTATTATTATTACTGTCCTGTGTTGTGTGACTGCTACTGGCTGCTAAATTTCCTTCGGGATCAATAAAGTATCAATAAAGTATCATAGTAATAAAGTATCTATCTATCCATCCATCCATCCATCCATCCATCTGTAATAATATCAGGGCGCGACCTGGGGGGAGGCGCTGGTGCTGCTGCTCTAACGCAGCTCTGCCTCTGCTGCACTACCGAAGATTGACTAACGTAACGTTCAGCCAATCATATCAGACCCCACACATTGTAAACCAATCATATCAGACCCCGTACATTGTAAGCCAATCATATCAGACCTCATACGTTGTAATTCAGTGTAATCCAATCATATCGGACCTGCGGGCGAGTCTCTGGTTGTGCGCTGCAACCGACCTGAAGAAGGATTTCGGTTTAAAGCTCACCAAGATGAACATTAATTTAAAATCTACAGTATACAGAGTGAAACAGTGTTAAACAGAGTGAATACATCCACCCACAGTATGGATTTGAGGCAAATTATGGTCAGAATAGCTGGATATCTTTGTTTTACTCGGTTGCTTAACTCTAGTTAGCTAACTTCAGTTAACTTTGGGTGTAAATGAGGTAAAGAAAAGAGGCTAAGCTAACACTAACATTAGCTATCTAGCTGACAAGCCAACAAGTTTCACCCATAGAGTCTCTTCTTTCGTAAACCACTGTAGTCATGTCGTCATTTTGTAGTGGGCGCCATGCTTTTATGCCCATATTAGGAACTCCGGGTCTAAGCTTCATTTCTCTATGACCAGAATGAATAGTGTTTTCGAAAAAACGTCTCTATCGCCCCCTGTGTTAAATAAAAATGTTCAGAACCCGATACGTTTTGTCCTGTGAACATTCTTCTCTCGAATACCACTGGATCCTCTGATTTACGAGGTCGTTAAAGTGTTGAAATATGAATATTGCTTCATATGAGCTAAAGCTACTGCGCACTGAATTCACATCATTAGACTGGCAGCCTCCTTAAGCAGGTTATCCATCTTACTCGATAGTTATCACCCCTGATAAACTGATTTAGGCTATCAGAATATGCTAATTATTATTTTTTTGCTGGTAACATTTTTTCTGAGGACATTCGTCAGCTTTTTGTTCGACTTTTCCCGTTCCAGCTTAAGTAGTGCAGTCAGTTTTGCTAACCGAGAGTACAGTTTACAAATCCGTCGGTACGGTTTATAAACTGAGAGTACGGATTACTGAACTGCGGGGACAGATTTTCCTCCTCACAACTTCGTTCCTCGTTAGTGACCCCTACGGGGCTCCGTACGAGAATGTAAAAAAACAAGAGGGATAAAAATAACGTTATAGACAGCTCTTTAACTTATATTCGTTGTTTTTAGATTTCTCTTCAGTATTTGGAAACAATGACACCAGTATTTGATATATACTGCTGTTTACAGTATATTAATGTCAGTGAAAATGACGAGGCTGAAGTTGCCAGATTCTTGTTTGAATTTTCCCGCTGCGAGGAGCCAGAATGAAACCGCTGCAGCATTTAAGGTGGGATGGAACATTAAAACAAGAAGCTACTTAAAGGGAAATTAAGAGGCAGCAGCTCCGTCGAAGACCAGTCAGGTGAGAAGATTTTTACCATTTAAAAAAGAAATTGATTGATCATTACTTCCCTGAATTCTTGTAGAGTTTAATCATATTAATGCATTACAAAACACAGGAAGAGAGGGAGAGAAAAAAGCTGAAGGAGCAGATCTGATGGATGGAGGTTAGTGATCAAGAAGAAAGCGAGGGAGAGTTGTATACGTTTTTGGCAAACTTTATTACTGAATTAATTTAACTAAGAAAATATAATATTTGTCACCATGACCATGAAATTCTGTCATCTAGCTTATTAAACATGCCTACAGAGCAAAATCACACTCTTTCTATTTCGCACCAACTGAAACTGAACTGTAATCTGTCTGTTTGAATAATATATTTAGGACCTTGCAGCTTGTCTAAGAGAGAGGAGATAGCATCGCTTGATTTCAGTACCTTTGCTTGATCTGTGTCCTGTTGTAAGGGGATGGATATAGTGTTTGTTATACTAGCTCTGTGCTTAATACCAACTACAGAGAGACAGATCTACTGTGCGCCAATTTGACCAAATAACCATTTTTGATATACTTAGCATGGCTGATATACTTGACATTTTCTGGCTGTTGCTACTCTAAAAGTGCAATAAAAACATTTAAAAAATGTTTGTTAAAAAAATTGTTTGAGGACCATGCCCCCTGAAGTACAGGCTAGCCCCCCTATCCATGAACCTCTAGTGACACCTCTGTCAAACACAGAAGTAAATTGAAAGTTGATGAAAACAGTAAATAAGTAAAATAATATGGCAATGGAGAAGCTTAAGTATTGTAAATATAACATATGCAAAAAAAAATATATAAACCAAAACCCTTTTGAATTACACTCAAATAAAGACTGTAGGAAAGGCGGACCCAGCAATAGTGGTAGTAATAGTTGGGGTTGGACCTGTAATGGATATACATTGCAAAAGATGTTATCTTCAACCCTTAAAAGACACGCTCATTGCTAACAGGCGTATAGAATCAAGAACACTGCCATGCAATCTCTATAGACAAACATTGGCTGTAGAAAGGATCGTACTAAAGAGCTTGGTCATTTTAAACGTGGCACTGTCATAGGATGCTTCCTTTGCCACAAATTTGCCACAAAGTCACAAATGTTTGATCTGCTAGATCTTCCCTAGTCAACTGTAAGTGCTATTATTGTGAAATGGAAGCGTTTAGGAACAACAACTGCTCAGCCACGAAGCAGTAGACCATTCACATAAAAAATACCTGTCAACACGAGAACTGTGTGTTGGGAGCTTCATGAAATGCTTTCCGCGGCCAAGCAGCTACACACAAGATCACTATGTGCAATGCCAAGCGATGGCTGGAGTGGTGTAAAGCATGTCTGTAGCAGTGAATACATTCTCTGGATTGATGGATGACGCTTCAATATCAAGCAGTCTGGTAGATGAATCTAGGCTTGGCGGATGCCAGGAGAAAGCTACTTATTGGATTGCACCGTGCTAACAGTAAAGTTCAGTTGAGGAGGTATAATGCTCTGGGGCTGTTTTTCAGGGTTTGGGCCCGGCTCCTTAGTTCCACTGTGGGTTTAAGGTTAATGCTACAGCACACTTTGTGGCAGCAGTTTGGTGAAGGCCCTATCATGATCCAGCATGGTTAAGTGAGCTAGTCTTGAGACATGATTTGACAAGTTTGGTGTGGAGGAACTCCAGTGGCCTGCACAGAGCCCTGACCAGAAGGGGGCCAGTTCCATATTAATGCCCATAGTTTTGGAATTGGATGTCCAATATCATATATAGGTGATGGTCAGGTGTCCACATATTTTTGGCCATATAGCATACTTCATATGAAAGAAAATTACAGTTCAAATGAACAAAAGCAATATTTCTCATCAATCCCCATTTCACAAACACTTTGTCAACTGCTGCCCTTTTCAGTTTTTACATGGTATAATGACTTGCACTGAAAGGTGTGGTAAGGGGAGGGTTTTCATACAAGCTTCTCTTAGGTGATCTGAGTAGATCCTGCCAGTCTCCAGGCAAGGCCTCCGTGGCCCTCCCCTGCTGATCAGAAACACACGACAGGCCTCTTCATCTTGTATGACCAGGCGATCAATTTATAATTAGCTTTGTGGTGATTAATGCCTTCC